TATATATATATATATATATATATATATATATACGCATATATATATATATATACGTATAAGCCTCCCATTTTAGTTCTTGTACTGTGATGACTATTCATGTGTTTTGTCTGCCCTCTCGCGCTTTTTATTTGTGTGTGCATGTTTGTGGATTTAAGCAACAAGGTTCAATAAATGCGCCCATATTTCGCCCCTAGACCTTTCCTGCGGGTCATAGGCTGTGCTCGCAGAAGCTGGTTGATCCTGTGCTAGCAAGGATCGCCGCCTTGCACTGCTGTTTCAATGTCGGTTGGCATCTGGATTGTGTACGCAGCGCGTTCTGTGTTGTGCGGTGCTTGTGTTTGAACGGAAGACCACATCACAGAAGTCCCATTTCAGCCCAGAAGGGGGCGGAGGGTATTCCGGGCAAAGAGGCAGACGACAGTGCCCGGTGAGGTTTCTGTAACCCACCCACACGGCATCACAGTACGGGCATTTCTCCTTTTGACAACTTGTGGACGGCCGTTTTCCTGCGGGAGATGCGGCAGTCGTAGGCTGCGTCAGATAAGCAGCGCCCGTCCACGGTGCACGTGGGTCGGTGCTGGAGCGCACGATTGCAGCTTGTTCTGGCCAAAGAGCTCAAGAAGGAAAGTGAGTAAAATAACTTCTCACTGTTGAGAATTAGCGACTCCAGAGCTCAGACTCCCAACGCCGTGTTTGTGCCAGGTGCGCCAGTTCAGTTCAAGCAAGGTCTTCCTGCGCAATTAGACCATCGCCACTGAAGCCAAAGGGCGGTGCAAAGCATAGCATACGGCGGTGTGTGTCTTGAGGCGTGGTTGCACGCCACGCTTTGGCGAGTTTTGCGGTGAGGCATGTCAGCAGATCTGTATGCCGCGGAGTTGCTATACGCTTTTCTGTGTGCAGAGCAGTTGTTGCGTTCGGCGTTGCACATTCATTGGCAGTGTCATTTGCAGGTATTCCACGGTGCCCGTAACAAAACTGCAGATGCATCGACTGGCCAGCACACCTCAGTGTCGAGAGGCACTGCCAGATCTGGTCTTTCGTACTGTCGGTTTGACTGGGTGGGCCTTTGTTGCGGGCAGCCAGAAGGGACTGACTATATGTAACCACGCATGGTGTTTTGTTATCGTGCTGGGTGCAGAGAACGATCAGTTTGTTGAGGGCCAGAAGCAGCAGCGTACAAGATTCCGTCCTGTAGTTGTGCGGGCGTATGCCGCGGTGAATGCTGACATTCTCTATAACCCCAGGGCGGTGTAGAGAAGAAATCGGTATTCTTGCCCCAGCTGGCGGGGAAGCGTCGACACCACCATCTGTTGCGAGTGTTCACGCGCGGTGTGTGTGTTGTGCCAAATCCGCTTTGTTGGCTCTGAGCTTCTTCATTTTAAGCTCCTTTTTGCCGGCGATCGAGCAATCCATTGGGAGTTGCGCGCTAATAGACACCCAATTGGCGGGCGCCACAGAAAAGGGAGAAATTGAGCTGTGAAAAGGCCGTTCCTTGCGTGGAGTTTTTATCGGTGATGCCAAACTTCCTTGTTTTCTTATCAACAAAGGCGTGGAACTCATCCCGAGAGAGTGGAGAAACGCAGAAACCGGCGCGTAACGGCGGCTCAGACGGGGAACTTACTCACCTAGTCCATCTTACACGCCCAGATGTTTTCAAAGATTGCGAGGCGAACGCGTAGGCGGAAAACGCGGAGTCGAGGTATATTAGCCACCAGGAGGGCGGCTCCCGGTCAGTCGTGCTTGGAGCTTTGCTGACGGCGCACGTCGTTGTTGCTATTGTTTTTTGACCGAGTCCGTTGGCGCAGCTCATATGAGTCCATTGCTTTAGAGAAGTTTGGAGGCACAATACCAAAGGGCAAACGCCAGTAGCTCACAAAGAGGCAGGCCAGCTGCTTTATGCGATCTGGGGCATAGCAGGGGAATTATCCGCAAGGCGGCGGCACGCCGCTTGGGGACTGCCGCATTAAGCAACAGCGGAGGATCGAGGCCCATGCTGAGGAGCTTCGGAGTGCGAGGTAACACCGCAGGTCTTGCGGCGGCGCGCGGAGAATTAACCGTCTCCGTTGCGCCCCGCTTTGTGAGCCAAGTGGGGCAGCTACACCGCCGTGGTGCGCACACTGTGGCTCGCATGCTGGTGGTGGGCGCCGCTTCCAGCAGGCCTCAGATATTGTGGAGTGAGAGTGGGAGTGAGGCGGACGTCACACCTAAGATTGAGGAGCGTGAAGAGGAGGAGATCCGTGGTGTGCGGCTGGAGTTCTTTGTGCTTAGATCTGCGTTTGCGTGGCCGCACAAATTTTTTTCTTTTGCCAGATTACGTGGACGTATTTGTGTGCAGGAAGGTGGTGCGTGTGTTGAGGAGGAGCGCGTGGTGAGGGATGCGTCGGTGGTGGTGAGGCCCAATGCGGGGAATGGAGGGGATGCAGAAGGCTGCAGGAATTTTTCCGTTCACTTGAGGTCAAAAAGACATTGCGGAGGCGGGTGCTAATGAAGAACTTTAAAATGTCTCGCCTGCTGTCTGTTGTGGGAACGTAGAGTAGGTCTGCTGCTGATGATATTGAGTGCTTGGGCTGCGTGGCGTTT